TCATGAAGCAGAACCAGGATGCCTTCGATGTCATTATAACTGATTCCTCAGACCCAGTCGGTAAGTGCCACTTTATAAGTGTTGTAACATTGATTTTCAGCTTTTATAGGAGACAGTCCTATCCTGACTTCTGACTCTGTTGCAGGGCCTGCTGAGAGTTTGTTCAAGGAGTCTTACTATCAACTGATGAAGGCAGCATTGCGAAATGGTGGAATTCTTTGTTCCCAGGGTAAGTATATTTCAATACAATTTTGTGTTAAAAGTTAGAGAAAAGCTCATGAGTAATTTTAGTTAGGTGCTCACTTGAATAGAAGTTTTTGTTCCCGTTTTTTATATATATATATCGACTACATCAAGATAGAACGATACGAAAAAAGGCAGACAGGAAATTAACATGCCCTCTCTTCTGCTCTTGTGTCACTTTCACAGGAGAGTGTCAGTGGCTCCATTTGGAGCTGATAAAGGAGATGTGGACGTTCTGCAGGACCCTATTCCCTGTGGTGGACTATGCTTACAGCACCATCCCAACTTATCCCAGTGGCCAAATTGGATTCATGCTCTGCGGAAAAGATCCTGTAAGTGTGCTTGTCATTCTCCATTTGTAATTTACAACACACCCGACTCCTAAAAATGCCACTGGCTTAATGTAAAACCATTCTGTTGCATAATCACTTGTCCGCTATTTCTCTGCATTCCATCAAATGACTGACGTCCCCGCTTCCCTTTTCAATCAGGAAACAAATTTCAAGGAACCAGTGAAAGCTCTGGCAAAAGAAGACATAGAAAATATGAACCTTAAATATTACAACCCTGAAATTCACAAAGCATCATTCGTCCTCCCCGAGTTCGCAAGAAAGGTACGTTGTTCAAATAATTTTTCGTATTTGACTTACATGCAATGAGTACTTGCGTGCAAATTCAGTACTCTTGACACATTTGCTGCCTCTCACTCAGTGTCTCTTTGACCATCAACAGGTACTCAGTGACGCATGACCAGCAACAACTGATCACCATGCTCATCCTCTACCTGGCCCTCAGACCACAGTTAAGCAACCTTATTGTACTGCTTCTCCACCTCCTCAACACATTTCAGTACCACTGAAACAGCCACATAAAGATTTTATGTGTGGTGGTAACTAATAATCAGTGGGTGGCAACAAGCTGATTTACACAGAGAAAGTGTTAGTTCGTTCCTTTCCTTCCAGTCTTACATTCTCTTGGTGTTTTATTTATTTTTCTCGTGTATTTGGGTTTTCATTTTTACTCTGTAATTATCAGCATTTTGTGAAGAATAATTTGATGGGCTGGGCTGAAAGGGAAGCCATCAAAACTGACCTCACTCTGAAACATGGTATTGTTTATTGGATTCACTGCACCGACACATTATGCAATATGCTACATACCATATAGAGTATGTAGCTGTAATGTTTGATATCGGTTTGTTCTCATAGGATAATGCACAGTTGCCATCTGTCATTACTGTTTATTCAGAATACTAATGTGTCCTCTACACATGATCCCTATAGTGCCTGAAATTGGTTGTTTGTTGTTGAAAAAGGATTTTTTTTTTCTGTTGTTATCGTAGTGTACCAGGCATATAGTGTCCTAGATAAAAGCTCACATGTCAAGAATTGAGAAAATTGTCCCTTTAAAATATCATCAATTTAAGATCAGGTTAATGTAATTGATGCTCAGCTTTGACCATCAGTTTGATATGGAAGACTTTAATGTTACGGTGTTAGAATGCAAATTAAGTAAAAAAAAAATGAAGAAAAAAAAGAAAAAAAAGTGGTATTGAAGCTTTGCAATGCAAGAAATGTCTTTTTAAGATGTGAATTCATACCGCAATTATAAGTTGCAGTATTGGGTATTGACCACTGGGAGTGAGCTTGTACTGTAGTAAGCCTGTATGCTGAGTCTTACACCAGGATGTTGTTCATTTCTCTCTCAATGGAAATCTAATGTCTCATTGTGGTTTATTTGTTTGTGGATCTAACGTCAAACATCTTAAGTTACTACCGATTACTTATAAATCCACATTGAATACTTGTTGAGAAATAGTGTCATACCCAAGCAACGAATTTGTGTTTTTATAAGAATTATGAACTGTAATAAATTGATAACATAAAATGGAAATTTGATGTCTGTGTTCGTTCATTCATTCATTCATTCATAGGTACACATATGTGGGTTTACTTTGCAAAACATGACAACTAGACACAGGACTACATTTTAGTTCACTTTGTGCTGGTTTAAAAATGTGATATCTTTAAAAGGTGTGGTACTTTGGATTAAAAAAAAAAAAATATATATATATATATATATATATATTCCGTCCCTATCACTGTGGCTACAGGACAGTGGAAAAATTTGTTCCTGGTTTCTACCCAGTAATCCAAAACTTGTCTTACAGTTTTGAGCTAATCTTCACCAGCTCCAGCATCACTTTTCAAACACATGCAGGTTAATATGTGATGTGTTGTTTCATCTGCTCTTCATTGCAAATGTGTAACCCTAAACATAGTCTTGAAAGTTCTAGTATAAACTGTGCGGTGGCACTCTTAAGGTTTAAGTGCAGTTGCAGCATTTAGCCACAAGATGGCATCCTTTAATCTGTTAATGTATGGGCCAGTTTCATTTATTGTAGAGGTATAAAGGAATGTATTTAAATTTTGCTGTTCAAATTCACCAAATACATATTCAGAGGACATAACTTTATATTTCAGATTTCCTTTGAATTGGAACGTAATGCCCTTTGGCTCAATTAAATTGCTCAGATGAGTTGGTGTTTTGCAATGTGAAGTGTGACTGTTGCCCCCAGTTGCATCAATTCTAGTTATTGTTGTGTAAGACCACAGTCCTCTCTGGTTTTCTAGTGAATGCAACCAGCCTGAAACTATGCAGTACATTATTGTCATACTGCCTTTATAGTGCGTTACTGCGTTACAGTGGCTGGACTAGTGTTCATGAGTGTTCACGTACTGTAATAAAAGAAATAAAACGTATATCCACTGTCTTGCATTAAGATCACTGAAGGAGGACCTCTGACTTTTATCTGCCTTGAAGATGCACATTGAAATGGAACTGCAGTAACAGAACTTTGGAGACAAGGTATTACTTGTCTTTTTACATTAATATGCAAGTCAAATTTAAATGTTTCCATTGCAGTTACACAGGAAGATTTACCCACATGTACACATTCACCGGTTTAATAGATAACGCTCAGCACAAGATCCTCAGATGATTTTCGAGTCCGTTTTCCTTTGTGATCTCTTTGAGACAGTTGTCGAGCTGGTGCTGAAGGCCACACTTGAAGTAGATGTAGTGAAACTTCCACGCACATTAATAACATATGGGAGCACCTACATAGCGGTCGTCATGCTGACGTTTTACACTGTTTGAAGTCTCTTTCTGGGAAGGCCATTGTAGATTTTTCAAACACGCACTGAATGGCCAATATAGCCATTTCCACAGTCAGCTAATCTTTGGATTGGCTGCGGGCCTTCTTCTGCTCAGCAGTGTATGAAGAAAACACCTTAAAAACTGTTCTGAAAGCACAACAAATCCATTTGAACATATCAACTAAGGCGTACTGAAATATAAGTACTGTATGTTCTCTGCCAGTAGCATTATCTAAAGACGTCAGAACAGCAAACCCAGTAAACTCTGTTAATTGTGCTATTTCAGTGATACATCCTAGAGGTTGCGGTCAGCTTCTCAAACACTTGAAACCATTTTCTCTCAGACCGGAATATATTTTATGCTGTAATCAGCTCCCCTTAATGAGTTTTGGCGAGAAGTTTACGTAATGCAGACCAGTATAATTGGGCTTTGCAGTAGTTTAGGAGAACTGCACACAAATCTTTTCTTTTATAAGCCAGAAACTACATTTAGTGATGTTGTGTAGCCATATACGGGGATCATAATATTTGGAATATGACACATAAATCAGTCTATGTAAGCTGCAACATATCATTTTGAATAACCCATCAGGCAAACCCATCAGGTGGACTGGTGCCCGCAAACATTTTCTCACTCTAAACAGCTTAGTCTATAGTGTGAATTTAAAGTCTACAAAATATCTAACTAGAATATATTTCACTCTCACAGTCATTGTTGCTTTGCTTTAATTCAAGAAAGTGAATAAAATTCACTCTACCAAATTGCCAGTGTAGACCAAAGTTAACCTTCTTTTTTCCCTTTCCTTTCCTTTTCTTTCTTTTTTTAACAACTCTGTTTACTCCACTAGATTGGTGATGTGCATTTCCTGAAGACACTTCCCCCAGTCATAGTGAGTGTCAGACCGTTCAATTGTAATCTGCAGGTGTCAGAGATGCACGTAGAAGCACTGTGACAAGGATCAGATGTTGACAGCAGAGCGGTAAACACCGGGATGTGTAAGTGATCAACGATAAATCGGCTTGTGCTCAGTTTGTGTTGACTTTTTTGATTGCGGCTGCAGGGAGCCGTTTTATCTCGGCGTTAAACAGGGTCAGAGGACACCTGATGATATCACACAGTCGATGAGCTGCGGAATTGCCCATCCACCTGCCTGAAGAGGTCTTGTTTGAGACTGTCTGCCAATACATTAGTTAAATGTTGATATCAACACCTGGTTTTAGCCCAGTGACGTCATCTGCTGCAGATGTTCCCTCTGAGAATTACATGAACACAGCCACCTCACAAAGGTTAGCTGTTCAGTGGTTCCATTTGTTCTCTCCTGACCCCTTCATCTCCTCTCCTCTTCCACACTCATGTACCCCCCCCTCCCCCCCCGCCCCCCCCTCAAAAAAGTGCTCGCACACATACACCCTCCACGCTACCGTCATACACCCACCACCTTCTACGTCAGTGGCAGACAGGGGGAGGCGTATAAAAGAGTGAGGGACTTTGGAGGGAGAGCAGGAGAAACATCAGTGGTTTCCAAATCTTGTGACCAGCAGCTGCCTCCAACTGCACTGCACTTTCTCCATCACTCTCCTCTGGATCTCTGGCTGGTCTGAGCTGCTCAGACCCTTCCTCTCAAAACATACACACACACACACACACACACATACACACACACACTAACACTCTCTCTCTCACACTCACTCACACACTCCTGTGAGCCTCTTGCTCCTGTGACTGTAGCTCTGGTCCGTCACCTGCACTCTTGTCACAGCATGCAGCTCCTCGTGATGTTAGCAGCTCTCATGGGTGTTCTGTTCAGTGTTAGAGCAGCCGCCGTGCTTCCTGTGGAGGACAGGAGCCCCATCCACGTGAACAGGGTAAGGAGATTACTGTTGTTCATGGGAACATTTACCTAAATTTCAGCTTTTATTATGGATAGATTGATCTAGTTTGTTTTGTTTTTTTTGTAGGGAAAAAATTGTTTTAAAAAGAATATCTGAACTTACAATCAAAACTGCTTACGAAATCAACATAATAAATAGTGTGTCATATTTCTAATTTGCATTTGAGAGAATTTTCAATTCTTCCCATTGAATGGGAAAATTCAGCTTGAGCCCCCCCCAGTAAGATAACTACAAGATATTGAATTTACACATTTTCCATGATCTCGTCTCCTTAATAATAAATTCTCTTCTTTTCTGATTTTTGGTCAGGAGCTGAGCAAAGAGCGCAAAGAGCTGATCCTGAAGCTGGTGTCCGGCTTGTTGGACGGAGCTCTGGACACCAACATGCTGCCGGGGGAAGCGGCACCTGTGGATCTTGAGGAACCGCTGGAGTCTCGTCTGGAGGAGAGGGCTGTCTACAACAGGCTATCGCTGCCTCAGCGCGACCGCAAAGCCCCCTGTAAAAACTTCTTCTGGAAAACTTTCACCTCCTGCTAACAGAGCCCAAAACCTCCCGGCTCTGCCTGCCTACTGCTCTCCTTCCCTCCCAGCTCCACATGAACTGTAGTTGACCTCAGCTGTACATATCATCTACACCTGTCAGACATGCAACATCGATGGACTTCACTGAGACAGTGTGTCTGTTTGAATATTACTTATTTATGTATCTATTTATGTATACAATGTATGTATTTATGTATGTAACAGTTTCTTTCAGGGTCAACAATAAAGCATGGATATAATATTTGAGATGGTAATAACTGTCAATTGCTTTTGCAAATTGTTCAGAGAAAAAGAAAAGGTCATATTTTCCACCTGCTTTTTACAATATAAATGCAAAGTCAGATTTCATGCAAAAGTTATGGCTGCGGTTTTATTATGATCACAACGGTTACTGCACTAAAATGTAGATGCAAATGGCACACAGAAAATACAGATAAAGTTTTTCGATTTCTTTGTTGAAAGTCAGTCAGTTTTTCTCTGTTGCTCTTCTGTTAACAAAAGAAAACATTTAATATCCCAGGAAAAAGAAAGAAAGAAAAATAAAAATTCCATAATTACTGAATAAAATCCTAATAATGATGTTGTGCCTAAATGCTTTATTATATAAATATATAACAAAATATTTTAACCCCGACTCAAAAAGAAAGAAGTGTCCCTGTCTTTGTGTATGTTTTATTAGTCAGAGTGAGTTAATTCCCGGTCACAGGTTGGGGGAGATGCGTCATTGACTTCACAGGTCGTTAAACATGTCAGAGGGAAGAGAAGAAAGCAAATAAATTAGGAGCTTCCCTGTATTTAGTTGATGCTGTCCTTTGACAGCAGTTAAAGGACACGTAGTCTGGAAGATGAAGAAAACATTTTCTAAATGTTAGGTCAAAAAAAAAAAAAAAAAGACGTGCTGTGTTGATGTGAATCTGACCTCACTGTTTGATTGTGAGGGCACAGACGAGGTTGATGCTCCATGTTGAGAGATAATGATGTGTTCTCCTGCGACCCAGTGTTCGATTCTCGAGGCAAACAAGACCCTGCGTTGGTTAGCGGTGGCTCACTTCTCAATCAGTCATGATACAATTATCACAGGCTTTCATTGCCTTCCTGTCATGTACGGCCGCTGTGATATGTGTGGTTTTTAACCACTTAGTGAGTAGAGGTAGAGCACGGACTAGGTGCACTGGCTGCGATCAAATATTGACTTTCAAGGCGGGTCCATAGTCCCTTTTAATGAACTGATGGATTTCATGTGATAAATTACATGCAGATGAAATATATCACTGTATGAGGCAGTGCAAATAAGTAGTGCTTTGTAATAGTTTAATCAAAAATTAACAAACCAACCGAACCTAGAACAGCATTAAATAAAGGACTGCTGAAAAATGGCTAACAATCATAAAAGCAATTTCACAACATTATTTAGGTTTGTGCTGTGAAATAATATATGACAAAACGTTCTCACACTTCTTTCTTACACACAATCCCCTTTACTGGCTCTTAGTGTTGAAATAAAAAGCGGCATTTTGTTGATTAGGTCAAGGTGTGTGTGAAAAAACTTGGCAATGGAGAATCTAATCCATTGTTTAGCAGCTGTTTGGAGGGGTATAATCAAGTAAAATATTTCCAGTGAAATCTGTGAATTCTTGAATAATCTACAATAATGTACCACCAGAGTCCATAGAAATCCTACACAGCCAAAGGCAAAGCTCAGAGTAGTTTCCACAGGCTTTTTTCAGCTGGGTTACTGTCTCATCATCTTCCCGAGCAGGATGAATAGCTGGTAATGACTCATAAACGCACTTGTGTTCCTGTTGCTGAAAAGACACGAGTTAACAGAAGTTCACAGTTTCGATTCAATTACAAGTGGAACATTAAAAGCCATGATGATGACATTTCTTCCTTTTATTGTCGTTGTGTTCGTGTCTGAGACAAGTTGGAGAGAAAAGCTCTTTAATGACACATGCTAGTTTTTATTGAAAAAGACAAAGAAAAAATCCCCTGAAAACCGCACTTGATGGTGAGTTACAGTTCCACAAATTTCAAAGCAATGTAATTACATGGTTCTCACAACCGCTGGGAACTCTGCGCTGTCGCTGCCTTTAACGACGCTTGATAAACAAAGGCTCCTATGGGCTTACTTGATTACAGTTCATCTCACACCATCTTTCATCGCTGAGATAAAAAGAACTGTATCAAAATCACACATTTTCTGTTTTACAACTCACGAGGAGAATATCTAGGTTGTGCTGCGCCAGAGTAAAAGAAACATTTTGAAGAATAAAGAAAAATGTGAAAAAGTATTTTTTATTCAAGTGCAGCACCTAATAATAATCAGTATCTCTGGGGTTGAGATAACACAAAACAATTTGATGTCAGTAGAGGTGCTGTCCACTCCTGACTTTATGCCACTGGGCTCAAATGAGCATGCAGAGGAGCAACATCAAAGCTGATGCCTGCAAGCAAAGCATTTTATTGGCTTTCCTTTTGATCTGAAGGAGGAGGGAAGGGAGTGCTCAGGCCTAACTGTGTAATTCAAATTTAAATGTGACTTCATATGTGCCGGTGTTTAAAAATAACAAAGACTTAGGTTTTGTTGGTGCTCCTCACAGGAGGAAAAAACAACTTCAAAGTGAACCCACCATGGTTACATAAATGCAGAGAAAAGTGGTAAACTTTGTGGGATGTGACTGTATATTATTATTTAGCCTGGATGCACATCGTGATATATGGCTCATTTATGGCTATTTCATGTTGGATAATTTTAGCCCTCTGTGTGAAAAGAGTGACCATAAATCAAGGGAAGGACTTCTGCTGATCAAAAAAATATTTTCAAAGCATCTTAGGTTACTAATTAGACAATAGGTAAAAATCCTGCTTTTAATCAAATCACTATGCGTAATGTAATAGGGACCAGATAACCATAGAGAATTATCATAAAACTCTGCTCCTTTTTGGCCTATTTTAGCTTATTGTTTTGGTTTTCTGGACCACAAATTTATTCTAACGTTCTCTCTCACCATTTTGTTAACCATGTGTGCAGCTGTTTTCAGAAAACAGACTCTAAACCGTCTGTACACCTGCCACCAAAACAGCAGACATATTTAGCAACAAACCAGCAAAGAAATATTTTTCTCAGGGCTTAATGTTGATCATGAGAATGAACATGGGATTTGTTTTTCACGTTGCCAGAAACTCCAAATGAAAACTCTGTTTCTAATATGTTAGCCATAACAATATTGAACATTTCACGGCTCTTCTGGAGTTTTTCTTCCTCTTAGTGGACAAAAATCAATTAATGCAGCTTTTAAGATCACACCTGCATTTTAAGAGGCAAAATGTGATTTCAGTTCGCTCCAATGGAACTACCGTAAAAATGTGTGGGTGTGCTTTTGCCACGTTCATGTTACGTAAGAGAGGAGCTAATGATTACCCTGTTTACAACCTCCGAGCATCGACATCCTCAAACTATTCAAGATGGCAGCTGTCAGTCTGCTCCTCAGTCATTACTGAAGATTCCAGCTTAATTTTAATGAATCTTAATTAGCATCTCCTATCCAAACAGAACAACACAAACGCTAGCTACATTTCTTTTAAGGACATCATACTGCCAAGCAAGCAAACTGCTAAAAAACACTGTTCATGGCTGCTATACAGGTGCAGAATTCGAACAGTGCAATGAGGGACAGTTGTTTTCCTGCAGAGTTGGATGTGTGAAGGTTAAAAATACTGTGCTGGTTCACTGTATCTATTAAATCTCGGTGTTTAATTAGCTTTAACAACACACTTACGCAGCACTTCTGATGTATTGGAGCTTCCAGGAAAATTCGTCCTTCCCAGTCATTTTGATGTTGACTGTCATAAAAGAAAGTGGTAATTATGGTAACTCTGATATTATATAAACACTCTGGACTCACCAATCTACACCGCTGACCATCAGCAAGCCATCTTGACAGTGCTGACCGTGGAGGGAAAGCATGCTGGGGACAGTCCAAAATGGAGGAAGCTATCATAGGTTATTATGTGTTCTGGTTTTATGTCACTATTGGAGTATTAACTGCCTTACCAAAGGGCAACGAGTGGCAGACAGTTATGAGACAGGAGTGGATGGTACAAATACATGTATGAACATACCATCCTGTTAGCAACTGAGCTAACCTAACAACCCTTATTTTCTCTAATCAAAACTTTTTCCTGAACTGAATGGTGTACACATGAACATACAGAACAGTTGAAAGGGAAATACTTTTTACGTTTATTATTTCACCTTCATTGTAAGCTGTGTCAGCCTCGCTGACTGACACACGATCACTGTGTTTGTCTCTGTATTTCACAGATGTCAGAACTCATTTTCATCCTGCACTTGGGAAACTTTAGAAATGGTTAACATCAAACGGTTCCCTAACCTGGCCTCGATCGGTCAAGACAGGCCAAATTAACACCCGGCGCTTGGCTGATGCTTCTGAGGAAAGGTGTTAACAGGCAGGTTGTGTGGCGATTTCCACGCTGATAGAAAGGCTGTGTCCTCTCCTGTGCACAACAAACGCTATCAACAAAGACTCATGCTGAAAAAAATCATTTACATAAAAGGGACTGGAATGATCTTTTGAAATGAGATGTTTTAGAGATGCAGGCTACTGCAGCTGACGTTTATTTAATAGAATGTGTCATGTTCTCAAAGCATGTGCTAATTCAGTGTGTATCAGAATAAATTGGAAATATAAAACTACATAACCATGTTAATTTTACATTCTAGCCAAGAAAAAATAAGAAAGGGAAAATACTTCTTATACTTCCTGAATTTTTATTGGATACATTATACAGTGGGCGTTCATGTTTTGTTTGAAAATCAGAGATGGAAGTTTTGTGCAGTTCGTAGACATGTACTTGTACTTTATTAGCCCAGCGACTCAGGACACAACGCCTGCAGCAGCCTTATTCATCTCTGTCAGCCGGGCTCAATTTGTTTAGTTGTGACATTTTAGATAGGTTGTATCCAGAGCAGTGAACAAAGGCGGTATGGTTGACTAGCTGAGGCATTTTGAAGTAAAATAAATATATAAGTAACCATTTTTAAAAAATGTTCTAGGCAAAAGACATGCCCAGTAGGAATAATGG